CATGAACATCCATATGGATCAGAAACACACATAATTACACTATGACAACCATCAGTACTGCTTGGTGTATTTATTCAACTTACCTGTATTGCAATCTAATCATGTATATGATGCAAGACATGAACATCCATATGGATCAGAAACACAAAACATCCTTGTACGACAAGCGTCATTATTCACTGATGAACACACATTACCACATTTTTTTCCCCATTTGCCTTTATTACCACAATCTAAAATATATAATAGTGCACACAATTTTAAAAGACCGTGAGAAATATAATGTTGTTTCAATGTGAAAAACATGAAAACTGCAATGTATAAATGATTTTCAAATTGGTATTGGACAAATGTGTACATTTTAAGTTAACAGGCGATATGTAGAGTGTAGATGTTACTTCAATACAAGAGATCAATTCAATGACAACTTCTGTTTTTAGATTCCTGCATGTTAAGTATGGTTTGGGATGTAAAAGTACCATTTCCATCCTACTTTTTTGGACTAGACGACACTCAATATATGTAACGTATTATGTATTATCTATATGTATAGTTTGAATGAAATTGGTCAAACCATTGAAGGCAATATCCAAAAACATAATTGTTTGACCAGAAATTTCATATTTTGACCCAAAGATAGCCTTTTAATAGACCTTGATTGTGGAAGACTGTATATAAACATATGCAATTTATACTGTATAACCTATATGTGAAGTTTAAATGACACTGCATAATATATTTTCGAGAACCGGCAAATAAATCATTTTTACCTATTATTTAACACAACATTACATCACCCAAACACAATACGGAGGAGCAAACGAAGTCCCATACAAGTTCCTATGTAGTTACTGGCTCAATACTGGAGAAGGTAAATACATATAAAAACATATATACAGTGTCTTACAAGATACTGTTTGATGTCTAGAAGTATTAAACAATTGACAATATTGTATTCGTATTATTTTACCTTTTGTTTCCAAAAAAACAGATTGCCAGTGAACCAAAAAAA